TGGCATGGCTTCGCACGCTTACACGTGCTCGAAGCATGGCGTTCTGGGGCTGGTGCGAAACGCTGCAGTGGAGCTTGGACCCTTGGGAATACGAGTGAAATGTGTGTCTCCTTACGAAGTTCCAACGACGATGAGTAAGAAGTTTCTGAAAACTGATGATGAGGGGATTGCTGCACTTTATTCGAATCTGAAAGGTGTTACTATGAAACCCGAAGATGTGGCTGAAGCTGTGGTTTACTTGGGGAGTGATGAGTCGAGGTATGTTAGTGGTCATGATCTCGTTGTGGATGGAGGCTTCACTGTGGTGAATGCTGGTATGTGTGCGTTTGAGTCACAAGTGTAGCTCTTTTTGTGGTTTTGATTGTTTGAATCACTGTGTTGAATAACATTCACCAGCCTTCTTCGTTAACGTGTGGTTGTAATGGTGCAGAAAGAGATTGAGGGTAACTGCTTTGTCCTCTTATGATGAATATGTTTGTGTCCTTTGACTAATATAGCACATGGTAATCACTTTTACAATAGAAAAGAAAACAATAAAAAAAAGTTATTTGACATCCGTCAATAATATTTTGAAATTTATAACAGTGAAATGCACCTATCAAAAATGGTTTTTTATATTTCTAAAGGAAAAGTGGGAAAATGATAATGTTTTAATATTAACAGGAGTAAAATGTGTTAACCAAATTGATTTTTTACATTTCTAAAAGAAAGTAGGGAAAGAAAAGATAATAAAAGATAATGTCCAATATAAAAATCTTTTCAGTTAAAATATCATTATCAAAAAATAATGTCACAAATTCTTTTATTGCGATCGCATTCCTTGGAAATAAGGAAACTGGATTAAGATGTCGGTGGTGATTGGCCCTGTATATGAATGGAATTAATTGTATAAAATACGCAAGCGACTTGTCTCTTCGGGGAATCAACTTGACCAACTTGATATATAACCTGAGGATATTCAAAATGTTTCTTTCTAAAAACTTTTATGAATATTGTTTCGGGAATGGTATTCATGTCAATTGGTCAAACTCCAAGCAGTCTCTACATTAACTGGTTGGTTTGAAATCGATTTTTTCTAAATTCAAGTGTTGTTTAGTTTGAGGAGTCTCACATGTATTATAATATATACAAAAGGTATTTTAATATTAAAATCAGTGGATGACAAAAAAAAGATTTTAGCTATTATGATGCATGTATTATGTGTGTTTGATTCATGAAAGCCCCTTGTAAAAACCATGTCAGGAGAAGAACTGTCGGGAGACATCAATTAGACTACATCAATCCTATAGCTTAACAATATATAAATATGTTAAATAAAATATAAGAAATTCTTATTTAGGTAACTCTTTCTTTTTCTATGTAATTAGAGATGGTTCTTTATTAATTTGTTTTAATTTTAAATATATTTTTATTTTTTAAATTTGATTATTCATGTTCTAAATTTTCATATAATTTAGTTTTAAAATTTTAAAAATGAATTGAAATATACGACAAAAATATGTTGATGCTTTCTTTTAGCTATCCCATTTTTTTTTCAAGGGTCTCAACACAAGTAGTTTAATGTACTATGCCTTTAGAGTTAAAGAAACTAGTCATGTTAAATTCACACCCATTAACAGTTCTAGTAACTTAGTTTCAAACTCAGTTTCAACATATAAAGCAAAACGTATAATGTGGTTTTAGGTTTCAGACTTGTTTGACATAAGATAAATCCTTGTATACTTACTATACCCATCCACAATTGTCATTAAATATCTATGTCCATGCAAAGAAGGGTTGGGAGGTGGTTCCTAAATATCAACATGAATAAGCTTGAACATTTTATTAGCACGAGATTCATTGTTCGAAAAAGATAACTTCTTTTGTTTAGCATGTGACAAACATCACAGTACATGTCTTTCAACTCTATAAAACTATGTTTAGATATTAAAGTTCCTAATCTCGTATAAGAAAGATGGCCAAGTCATTTGTGCCACAAATTTCCAACATAATTAACAACATGATCATGAGCAGAAAACAGGCACAAACCAACTTGATGTCTTATTGAACCAGTCATCTCCCTGGTCTTTGAATCCTGAATAAAGCACCCCAAATTAGAGAATATAATTTGCAAGGAGGAATCTGTAATTAAGTTTGATATTGAGATGAGATTATGTTTAATTTCATATATGACCTGACATTGCTGTAAGATTCATTTAGACGTCTTAAAAACTGCATAGCTTCCTCTGATTTTTGCTGCACATTAGTCTCTGATGCTCTGCATGAGCATTTGACTTCGCAGGTACATCCAATGTTTGGTAAAAAATTCTCCAATTCCTCCCAGATAGTCCGAGGCTTGGTGAAATACTCACTCACACTATAGTCTCCTTGCTTCAATTTAGTTGCTTCTGTTTGTAAATCTGAAATGCATAACAATTCTTCTTGAAAAAAAATCTTGATTTCGTGTTTCCAGAAAACCAAATTGCTTCAATGGAGAAAGGTAGGAGAGAGTAAACTTACAGAGATGATGAACTAGAATGGTTCTTATATATTGAAGATAGAAAAGAAAGGGATGCAAAGAAAAAAGATGTAAAAAGATCTCTATTTACAATGGAAGGTAAAAGGCTATAAATAAGGCATAAGACGCATGCATGTGGAAACGAGCAAATTCGCATCGCTCAGCAATAGAGAGAGCTTTGGCGCACGAGAGAGTTACTTCAAGTTCTAAGATTTAAAGATCAAAATAAATTAAAAACTAATTTAATATCAATAATATTAAGTAATTAAAATTTTGGTAGCTAATACTAAAAATCAATTTATGCAATTCAAACAAAATATAATTTTTTATTAATCATATCAACTATTCCTATCACAAGTGGCCTAAGATATTTTAAATATTTCTTCTTCCTTTTATCTTCTCATACACATTTTAAAGATAAAACAATAATGAAATACATATTCCAAAATAAACAATATCTTGAATGCATGATAATTGACTGTAACAATATCCCTTGTCTATTTAAGAGTAGAACATGAATTATTTTAGATAAAATAACTTTACTTTATAAAAAGGGTGGTTAATTATTTTTGGTGTTGGTGCCTCTGTGTCTAAGGATGAGGCCAACCTGAAGATATATTCGAGTGAGAGCCTCCTGTTATGAAGATGGTGATTATGGATGACAACAGGTTTTATCAAACACGGATAATGTTCACCTACAACAAAAAAAAGTACACTCGTTAGTCGTCTTGTTATCTGTCAGATACTCGTTTAAAAAATACCCACTTAAAACTCGTAGGTACCATAGATATCCGTGAATATTTAAAATAATATATTTTATAAAATTTTAAAATAAAATATAAATAAAATTACAAAAAAAATGTAAATTAAAATTTAATTTTAATTAAATTTAACCTAATAAAAGATAAATTAATTTTAATTTTAATTTTTTGTGAGTAATAGATATCTATGGATACAAATAGTATAATACTTGTACCCAGCTCATTTATAAGTGGGTATCAAAATATCAACTACCTGCGAGTAATAAATATCAGCAAGATACTAACTATTTGCGAATTTTATTTGTGGATACTCACAAATACAAATAATTTTGTCATCTGTAATGGTGATTGAGTTAGAGGCTTTACCAAATAACCACTAAATATTGCATTTTTATTAGTGTATATTAAAAAGATAGTTTAAGTAGAATTCAGTCATCAAATAAGAAAGAGTTAGAGAGAGAAAAAAGTTTAAACTCACACATGCTTACCTCTTATTTTAACATTGATTTTAAGAAAAGAACCATATTATCTCTATTTAAATATTAATCAGAGTAAAAAAAATATAAAAATAAAAATAATCATTAGTACAAAATGTATATATAACAATAATATATGACATTAGTTGGAGCATAATTTATAGGTTTAAATCCTCCCTTTGTCCTCATTTTTATATCAAAATCTCAGTTTGGTCATCATTTTTTCATCTGTCTTAATTGGATCATATTTTTTGTAAAAATAAACACATTTTACCCTAACCGTTAACTGGTCTCAGACGACGTTAAATTAAAGACACGTGGTGGAGAGAGAATGTGTTGATCATTTACGTGGAGTGTTTTAATTAAATAAACAATGGTGATTTGAAAGGCCACGTGGTGATGTTTTGACTAGAACCAGATCTTCTCCTCCCTCCCCCTCTGCTTCCTCCCCCATTGTTGCTCCACCGGCGCCACCCACCATCTACAACACAATCACAGACCAAAAAAATGTCATTCTTCTCGATTCAGTTGCAGATACACATCTCGAAACCCCTGCAGCAGTTAATAAAGAAAGCATACACATAAGAAAAATCACCCAAACAGAAAAAAAAAACTCCACCATTTACAATAGAACAACTGAAACTCTCAACCATTTCGAAATTCCACACAATCCATCTACAAAACACGTAGCATAATGCATCCGCACACCCAACCCAACCGAAACACGAAAATCCCCCAATTCAAAAACAATGCTCACAGTTCAGCACACCAAAAACGAGAATTGGAAACTCGCAACCAATCAAAATCTGCAAGGTAGTGAACTCGTGGTTCGAAACCAATTCAAATTGACAGTCAGCGAGAGAAAGAACCCTAATTGGAAGTGTGCAGAACTCCATTAGGGAAGGCAGAGGGGGAGGGAAACCAAGGTTGGGAAAGATTCTAACTAGGAATTCAATTTAGGTTTTCATCCTAATTATTCAATTAAGATTTCAAATTTAATTAATAAAGTTAATTCCTAAAAGAAACCTTATCGCAGATCAATTTCCTTTCCCAGATCAATTAAAAAGATAGCGTATCCATGGCTACCTTAACAATAATCCTACGTTGAAATCTCCATTTTGGGGCTGTCCCTTAATTGGGAGATGGGGCTTTCTTGGATGGTCACCTGATTCATTTGGGAGGAGGAGCTTGCTTCTGATAAGGCATAGATACCAGCCATTGCTTTCCACCTATGCAAACAGGTTTTTCATTCACAANGCGAGGGTAATGGCCCCTTCTCGACGTGGCAGCATAATCGCCACCTCAAGCGTGTGTGGTAGCATAGGTGGCATGGCTTCGCACGCTTACACGTGCTCGAAGCATGGCGTTCTGGGGCTGGTGCGAAACGCTGCAGTGGAGCTTGGACCCTTGGGAATACGCGTGAATTGTGTGTCTCCTTACGCAGTTCCAACGCCGATGAGTAGGAAGTTTCTGAACACTGATGATGAGGGGATTGCTGCACTTTATTCGAATCTGAAAGGTGTTACTCTGAAACCCGAAGATGTGGCTGAAGCTGTGGTTTACTTGGGGAGTGATGAGTCGAGGTATGTTAGTGGTCATGATCTCGTTGTGGATGGAGGCTTCACTGTGGTGAATGCTGGTATGTGTGCGTTTGAGTCACAAGTGTAGCTCTTTTTGTGGTTTTGATTGTTTGAATCACTGTGTTGAATAACATTCACCAGCCTTCTTCGTTAACGTGTGGTTGTAATGGTGCAGAAAGAGATTGAGGGTAACTGCTTTGTCCTCTTATGATGAATATGTTTGTGTCCTTTGACTAATATAGCACATGGTAATCACTTTTACAATAGAAAAGAAAACAATAAAAAAAAGTTATTTGACATCCGTCAATAATATTTTGAAATTTATAACAGTGAAATGCACCTATCAAAAATGGTTTTTTATATTTCTAAAGGAAAAGTGGGAAAATGATAATGTTTTAATATTAACAGGAGTAAAATGTGTTAACCAAATTGATTTTTTACATTTCTAAAAGAAAGTAGGGAAAGAAAAGATAATAAAAGATAATGTCCAATATAAAAATCTTTTCAGTTAAAATATCATTATCAAAAAATAATGTCACAAATTCTTTTATTGCGATCGCATTCCTTGGAAATAAGGAAACTGGATTAAGATGTCGGTGGTGATTGGCCCTGTATATGAATGGAATTAATTGTATAAAATACGCAAGCGACTTGTCTCTTCGGGGAATCAACTTGACCAACTTGATATATAACCTGAGGATATTCAAAATGTTTCTTTCTAAAAACTTTTATGAATATTGTTTCGGGAATGGTATTCATGTCAATTGGTCAAACTCCAAGCAGTCTCTACATTAACTGGTTGGTTTGAAATCGATTTTTTCTAAATTCAAGTGTTGTTTAGTTTGAGGAGTCTCACATGTATTATAATATATACAAAAGGTATTTTAATATTAAAATCAGTGGATGACAAAAAAAAGATTTTAGCTATTATGATGCATGTATTATGTGTGTTTGATTCATGAAAGCCCCTTGTAAAAACCATGTCAGGAGAAGAACTGTCGGGAGACATCAATTAGACTACATCAATCCTATAGCTTAACAATATATAAATATGTTAAATAAAATATAAGAAATTCTTATTTAGGTAACTCTTTCTTTTTCTATGTAATTAGAGATGGTTCTTTATTAATTTGTTTTAATTTTAAATATATTTTTATTTTTTAAATTTGATTATTCATGTTCTAAATTTTCATATAATTTAGTTTTAAAATTTTAAAAATGAATTGAAATATACGACAAAAATATGTTGATGCTTTCTTTTAGCTATCCCATTTTTTTTTCAAGGGTCTCAACACAAGTAGTTTAATGTACTATGCCTTTAGAGTTAAAGAAACTAGTCATGTTAAATTCACACCCATTAACAGTTCTAGTAACTTAGTTTCAAACTCAGTTTCAACATATAAAGCAAAACGTATAATGTGGTTTTAGGTTTCAGACTTGTTTGACATAAGATAAATCCTTGTATACTTACTATACCCATCCACAATTGTCATTAAATATCTATGTCCATGCAAAGAAGGGTTGGGAGGTGGTTCCTAAATATCAACATGAATAAGCTTGAACATTTTATTAGCACGAGATTCATTGTTCGAAAAAGATAACTTCTTTTGTTTAGCATGTGACAAACATCACAGTACATGTCTTTCAACTCTATAAAACTATGTTTAGATATTAAAGTTCCTAATCTCGTATAAGAAAGATGGCCAAGTCATTTGTGCCACAAATTTCCAACATAATTAACAACATGATCATGAGCAGAAAACAGGCACAAACCAACTTGATGTCTTATTGAACCAGTCATCTCCCTGGTCTTTGAATCCTGAATAAAGCACCCCAAATTAGAGAATATAATTTGCAAGGAGGAATCTGTAATTAAGTTTGATATTGAGATGAGATTATGTTTAATTTCATATATGACCTGACATTGCTGTAAGATTCATTTAGACGTCTTAAAAACTGCATAGCTTCCTCTGATTTTTGCTGCACATTAGTCTCTGATGCTCTGCATGAGCATTTGACTTCGCAGGTACATCCAATGTTTGGTAAAAAATTCTCCAATTCCTCCCAGATAGTCCGAGGCTTGGTGACATACTCACTCACACTATAGTCTCCTTGCTTCAATTTAGTTGCTTCTGTTTGTAAATCTGAAATGCATAACAATTCTTCTTGAAAAAAAATCTTGATTTCGTGTTTCCAGAAAACCAAATTGCTTCAATGGAGAAAGGTAGGAGAGAGTAAACTTACAGAGATGATGAACTAGAATGGTTCTTATATATTGAAGATAGAAAAGAAAGGGATGCAAAGAAAAAAGATGTAAAAAGATCTCTATTTACAATGGAAGGTAAAAGGCTATAAATAAGGCATAAGACGCATGCATGTGGAAACGAGCAAATTCGCATCGCTCAGCAATAGAGAGAGCTTTGGCGCACGAGAGAGTTACTTCAAGTTCTAAGATTTAAAGATCAAAATAAATTAAAAACTAATTTAATATCAATAATATTAAGTAATTAAAATTTTGGTAGCTAATACTAAAAATCAATTTATGCAATTCAAACAAAATATAATTTTTTATTAATCATATCAACTATTCCTATCACAAGTGGCCTAAGATATTTTAAATATTTCTTCTTCCTTTTATCTTCTCATACACATTTTAAAGATAAAACAATAATGAAATACATATTCCAAAATAAACAATATCTTGAATGCATGATAATTGACTGTAACAATATCCCTTGTCTATTTAAGAGTAGAACATGAATTATTTTAGATAAAATAACTTTACTTTATAAAAAGGGTGGTTAATTATTTTTGGTGTTGGTGCCTCTGTGTCTAAGGATGAGGCCAACCTGAAGATATATTCGAGTGAGAGCCTCCTGTTATGAAGATGGTGATTATGGATGACAACAGGTTTTATCAAACACGGATAATGTTCACCTACAACAAAAAAAAGTACACTCGTTAGTCGTCTTGTTATCTGTCAGATACTCGTTTAAAAAATACCCACTTAAAACTCGTAGGTACCATAGATATCCGTGAATATTTAAAATAATATATTTTATAAAATTTTAAAATAAAATATAAATAAAATTACAAAAAAAATGTAAATTAAAATTTAATTTTAATTAAATTTAACCTAATAAAAGATAAATTAATTTTAATTTTAATTTTTTGTGAGTAATAGATATCTATGGATACAAATAGTATAATACTTGTACCCAGCTCATTTATAAGTGGGTATCAAAATATCAACTACCTGCGAGTAATAAATATCAGCAAGATACTAACTATTTGCGAATTTTATTTGTGGATACTCACAAATACAAATAATTTTGTCATCTGTAATGGTGATTGAGTTAGAGGCTTTACCAAATAACCACTAAATATTGCATTTTTATTAGTGTATATTAAAAAGATAGTTTAAGTAGAATTCAGTCATCAAATAAGAAAGAGTTAGAGAGAGAAAAAAGTTTAAACTCACACATGCTTACCTCTTATTTTAACATTGATTTTAAGAAAAGAACCATATTATCTCTATTTAAATATTAATCAGAGTAAAAAAAATATAAAAATAAAAATAATCATTAGTACAAAATGTATATATAACAATAATATATGACATTAGTTGGAGCATAATTTATAGGTTTAAATCCTCCCTTTGTCCTCATTTTTATATCAAAATCTCAGTTTGGTCATCATTTTTTCATCTGTCTTAATTGGATCATATTTTTTGTAAAAATAAACACATTTTACCCTAACCGTTAACTGGTCTCAGACGACGTTAAATTAAAGACACGTGGTGGAGAGAGAATGTGTTGATCATTTACGTGGAGTGTTTTAATTAAATAAACAATGGTGATTTGAAAGGCCACGTGGTGATGTTTTGACTAGAACCAGATCTTCTCCTCCCTCCCCCTCTGCTTCCTCCCCCATTGTTGCTCCACCGGCGCCACCCACCATCTACAACACAATCACAGACCAAAAAAATGTCATTCTTCTCGATTCAGTTGCAGATACACATCTCGAAACCCCTGCAGCAGTTAATAAAGAAAGCATACACATAAGAAAAATCACCCAAACAGAAAAAAAAAACTCCACCATTTACAATAGAACAACTGAAACTCTCAACCATTTCGAAATTCCACACAATCCATCTACAAAACACGTAGCATAATGCATCCGCACACCCAACCCAACCGAAACACGAAAATCCCCCAATTCAAAAACAATGCTCACAGTTCAGCACACCAAAAACGAGAATTGGAAACTCGCAACCAATCAAAATCTGCAAGGTAGTGAACTCGTGGTTCGAAACCAATTCAAATTGACAGTCAGCGAGAGAAAGAACCCTAATTGGAAGTGTGCAGAACTCCATTAGGGAAGGCAGAGGGGGAGGGAAACCAAGGTTGGGAAAGATTCTAACTAGGAATTCAATTTAGGTTTTCATCCTAATTATTCAATTAGGATTTCAAATTTAATTAATAAAGTTAATTCCTAAAAGAAACCTTATCGCAGATCAATTTCCTTTCCCAGATCAATTAAAAAGATAGCGTATCCATGGCTACCTTAACAATAATCCTACGTTGAAATCACCATTTTGGGGCTGTCCCTTAATTGGGAGATGGGGCTTTCTTGGATGGTCACCTGATTCATTTGGGAGGAGGAGCTTGCTTCTGATAAGGCATAGATACCAGCCATTGCTTTCCACCTATGCAAACAGGTTTTTCACTCACAAGATAAAAGATCAAAACGAAGAAGAAGAGAACGATCAAAGGTTGCCATGTCATAATCTCTCAAATTAAATAAAAATTCCACGTAATAAAATATTTTAACATCAACGTATTAATTATGCAACACGTCAGCACCAACTAACGCCGTTTGTTACAATTTAACGGTTATGGCAAAATTGCCTCAATTTTACAAAAAATATGACCCAATTGAGAGAGTTGAAAACATGAGGACGTAACTGAGATTACCATAAAAAAATGATGACCAACGGAGGGTTTAAACCTAATTTATACGAAGAAAAACATGATGGCATTTTTGAATACCATATTAC